CTTCTTGCCAGCTCCACTTTCTCCAGAAATAACGATACACTGCAGAGAACAAGAGCATGACTCTGGGCTCATTACATATCTCTCAGCCTAGCGAAGGATATAATTAAGACACTTCATCTTTACCTGATCGGAGTTGTATGTCACCATGGACTGATAACCTATGTCAGCAACGGCAAAAATATGAGGAGGGTTGGCAGTCCGTTTGGCTCCAATATACAGTTTGGAATGCTAAGCATAAGAAAAATGAAAACATTATCAATGTCCCTTAACAACTTTTTAAAAATCAGAATTTAGTTTTATTTTCAGATTAGTGTACAGCATGGTTAGGTTACCAGCAGTGGTGTTTTCTGAGTGAGCCGTCACCGTGCTCCCTACACTATGAATCTGTATGTACTTAGTACTATAAGAACTGCTAAAAATGATGAAGCACAATTTTGTATGATGTCAGCCCTGATTATGCTATGAAACTCAAATTATTAGAAGAAAATTTAATGTTGCCAGACATCAAGGACCAACTTATAATTTCATTTTATTTGTACGTCACATCCTCTTAGTATTTCTGCATGATATTGATGTCAAAACTTAAGATCTTTTCTGTACCTGTAGTATCTGATAATTAATAATGCCAAATTATTGTATGACCAGACTTTCATATCTGTTCCCTTTTGTACAATGGGGAGGCAAATTCACAAAAGCTAAAATTTTACAGGGTTGCTTTGTGAACTGTCTGATCAATTAAATAGCTATGGCTTCCCCAGCTCTCTTGAGAGAAAATGCCCCCAGCTCCTACCTCCAGCCATTCACAGAAGTTCTCCATGGGAAGTTGAGGAGAAGGAATGCTCCCTCCCACAAAAAGGGGTAAGATTCACCTGAATAAATGCACTTATCTGTGCAGATACTACTTCTGAACTAGCTGCTATGGGCAGCTAGAGCCTTTACACTCTGTGGGGTTCTAGTCAACAAATCTCATGAAGTTTAGCACGATTTATCTCATCCTAGAATGAATGCTGAAAGTCACTAGAATAACAATAACCTCAAAAATCCTATTTCTAACCATTGATTAAAATGGATGACTTGCTCAGATACAGCTGTTTGCACTTTAGACGTGATATAGACATGATCTATGCTATAGACATAAAGATATCGGAAATTAAATTTTTTGGAGTTTCTCATTTCTGTGCTGAAATTCAGCACATGATAAGGATGCGTGTTAACATGCACTTGAAGGGACAAGTGTATTGGTAATTCTGTTTTTCAGAGTGAACTGAAGTAAATCTCAAGAATGGTCTTACTTTATACTTAACACAAATATTCATATTTTCATGGAAATCAGCGCTAGTTTAAAAGAACCAAACCTAGATTTTCACACCTGTGAAGAATAAATATCTATGTTCCGAAATGGATTGACAGCGATGAGAATGTCCCCAACATATGTGTAGATCTGATCCTTGGCATAACCCTTCTGCAACTGCTCTGTTACTGTATTCTGATGGAGAAAGAATAGGAACATTGAATCACACGGGGGAAAAAAAGAATATTAGGAGAATGTATAAAATATTTATATGGTTACAATGAGTGAGGATAGAGAGGGAAGGTATTAATAGTCAGGAATACAACTGATCATGATCAAAAGTGAGTAACACTTTCAAACACACTGGCATTCCTAATTTCTTGTGTCCAAACTCACTTTGAACAATATATACTTACAGATCCCCAAGTGGCTGTAGAAAAATGAGTTAGTAAGTACTGCTTTAATTCAATTAATCAAAGGTTTCCATGAGACAGTCCTGTCTTCATTTCTAACACTACAGCTTCATGTAACTCATCAAGCAAGAGCCATATGCTTGAATTCGTAACTGCCATTACAGCTGCTCTAACATTACTCTCAGTTATGATAAGACACAGATCTTCAACTGTTTGGATCCTGTTAATGTAAACAATCAGGCATCTTTCTGTATTAACAACCAGTCTGCTGTGATTGTTCTTTGCTGCTGCAGAGCCAGTTCTCCCCAAACCAAGAAAAAAGAAGGGCCCATTAGTGGCATACCCAATTTCTTGACATAATTTCCCTCAGCTTCTTCTGCATACAGAGCTGAGTATGTAAAGTGCCTGGTTAGGTTTCCAATCGAAACAGGACATAGAGCTGGGTGAAGAAATTCAAACCAGCCTTGAGACTATTCTGAGGTACATGTGAAAATATTTAGGCCCTACTCCCACTGGAACAGAATGACTGGCAGCAGAGGACTACAGAAGGAATTGCTTTCCCTCCACATCCATCTATTCACAGTGTTGTGCACGGTGTTCTGGTTAATGCATTTAAAACCTGAATTCTCAACAGCTGAAGAAGTTAAATTTCCTTCACAGGAAAACATGAGGAGAAAACCTTTGCCTTGATAAACTCTTCCCTTTTCAGTTTTGAACACTACCTTGCTTTTGGCCATAACCAGATTCACACTAACAGAATCTTTTAGGGGAACTTCTGCCCTTTTTGAAATTATTTCTTGCACCGTTAGGTCTCTTGTTTTGCTCTTCTGATGGGGCTATCTAAACTGGAGGAAAAGTTTGAATGGAAGAAAGGAGACAGTTCTGAGAAGCTGCCATTCATATGTGAAAGAGGTTTTAAAGTGGATTGGATTTAGTAAAATATCGCATAGTCAAATGATGCCTTTAGATGGAGGCTTTCTGATGACTTTCCTGAGAATGGTCCACCTCTGAGGAGATAGGATATACTTCCGGCTAGTCTGGTTTTTTGTGTTTCTTCTCTTTAGATCAGATTGTTTATATGCTTCATGGCAAAAGATAAAAACCAGTCTTGCTAGCATATGGCTATTGCCAATATTTAAAAAATGCTTAAATATGAGCTTTGTGCAGTAGATGAAGTCTGGATTAGCTCAGTTAGTATTAACTAACTTAAATAACTTAAACATTAAGCTACTAAACCAAGCTCTTGGATGATGCAAGATGTTCTGTGGGCTGTTAGCATTATGTAGTTTACCAGCTCAAGAGCCGCACTGAGTATTCTGTACTGACGAAGATACAATATACCAGAGAAGTTTTACAGATAAGAGAATGTGAATTATAGTCTATGGACAGCCTGGTAGAGGAAGAATGACAGTTTGTTTACAAATACTGATGGCCTCTAAGACCTGCAGATAATGTGCTGTGGCCTGATTCTTCTTTCTGGTTTTGAAGCTTAAAGCATAAACACAACAGACTTCCCTCCTCCCTTATGCATGTTCCCCTGCTCCTAGTGGACTCATTTTCAAACTTTGACAAACCAGTGAGATTTGTATCAGTAATTTTGTCAAAAGTTCACCAGAAGGCATTGACAGGTCAGAGCCTCAGCTGACATAAATTGATCTCAATGCATCTCCACACCAAAGTTAAGTCAGTGAGAACCCAGCCTAGAAGAATATGGTAAGCCAGTTTAAGACAACTCTAGATGTCCAAGCAACAGGGGAGAAGGTGCTTGTTCTTGGACCAGGACCAATTTCAGGTTAACACATCACTGCAAACTAGATATTTAGCTGTAATAAAATCCAGTGATATAAATCCTATTAAGCAAATTGTGCTACGATACTGCTCGGCCTAAGGCTGTAACTGCAGAGGGTGTTTTAGCTTTGAGTTGGAACCGTTTTTGACACAGCAAATCTCATCTAAAATATTTGGCAGAAACTGGTAAAATGCCATTGTACACTTACACAATTGAATTGTGACAATATAGTTGAACTTGAAAATCAACAGCACACCATTGTGTTTTAATATGTGATTAGTCCTCTTCAGGAAAACATGAAAAAGGAGTTTCTTACCTCATCCAGTACCTCCAAGGTTGCTAAATCATCTACCTCTTCCTGGTTTGAAACTAGTGACTTACTGTAGTTCCCTTTCTTTGTATGAATACGTTCAAATCTAGAAAAGAAAGACATGCAATTTCCTGATGTAAGGAAACACAGAGCAGGTCTTGCACCTGTAACCATCCTGAAGGCAATTCAGCCAAAATATTCCAGCTTTCCATTGTTCTGAATTCAAACACATGAATATTTGAATAACAGGACAGGATATAACTTCTTAGTGCGACACACATGTACTTGACAATTCAAAATCTATGGTTTGATCCCACAACTGATACCATGAAGAACTTTTTTACTGTACAGATCCCTGCTTGATCACACCCCTACATCAGCTGCAAGACTGGAGCTATGCAGTACAGGGAAAAAAAGAACATATTTATAAAGCATATAACAGTCAAACTCTGGCACCTACCTGCAAAAAGAAAAATGACCCAGATAAAAATTATGGATAGAACAAAACCAGGGGTTTATGACGAAATAGTATGGCAAGGATGATGCAGACAAAGCATTCAGGATGGAAACATTTCTAGCTTAGTAATGACAATGCTCTAAAGCCTGGCTGAGATGCTCTACACACTGTAGAGCAAAGTGCTACAGAACCACTGGGGTATGTGATATACATTCTGGCCAAGAAGAATTTTCTTGGACTTTACAAGAAAAAAATCGTACAAAATAAGGAAACAAAATTTCAAATCTTTTTTTTATCAGGGTTAAACTTCAATTAAGTTTGTCTTAAGGTGAAATTTCTTTTCTCTTTTAATCAAACCAAAGAAAACTTTATGCAGTCTCATAGAAATTAGCAAGAAAATTCCCAGAGACTTGGATCATTCTCTATCCAAGAGTAAAGGCATTGCTAAACAAAGCAAAAGCAGCAGAAAATGCAAGGTTTACAATTCACATTAGTTATACTTGCTTTATGAGATGGGGGAAAATCAGGGAAAGGGAAACTGGATAAGTAACAGCAGAGTTCACAAACTAAATCAAGCTCAGATGTGCAATATGGCATAAGCACAGAAAGACTACCAAGTAAATCCAACCTCCTGATATGACCTCACTCCCCTTCATACTATAGGTAGGAAAGCACCTCTCAAACACATGGAGTGTATACCTTGGTAAACTGAGACAGCAGGGAAACTGTTTTGTGTGAAACACACTCAGGCTTTACCTTGATTCCAGACAAGACCAGGGAAAACCTTTATTTAATTTTGACATTTGGATATATGGCATGAGTAAAAGCAGACAGGTGTTTTCATAGAATTGTAGAATCATAGGATTCATTAAGTTGGAAAAGACCTTTAAGATCATCAAGTTCAACCATAAACCTAACTGCCAAGTCCACCACTAAACCATGTCCCCAAGCGCCACATCTACACATCTTTTAAATACCTCCAGGGATGGTGACTCAACCACTTCCCTGGGCAGCCTGCTCCAATGCTTGACAACCCTTTCCGTGAAGACGTTTTTCCTAATATCCAACCTAAACCTCCCCTGGTACAATTTGAGGCTGTTTCCTCTTGTCCTATCGCTAGTTACTTGGGAG